AACAGAACCAGACTAAAGGAAGAAGACAAGAACTGATCTAAACTGGTTCTGATCCATCACACATCAACACTGAGGGAATCACAGGTCTGTAACTTCCTGTGTGTGTAGTACAGTTGTGTAATTTCCTGTGTGTGTGTGTGTGTGGTACAAGTTGTAACTTCTTGTGTGTGTTCTTACTTCTCAGGACTTCTCTGGATCAGCGGAGAAATCAGATGGAAACGTACGTAAGCTGAAACATACAAAGATCTGTCTAAACTTTGAGCTGGAACAGGAAGTAGTGTCAGACTTCCTGTTTTCATCATGTCACATGACCATCATTAAGACCCCTGATTGGACCTAATAAGTAATAACAGAAATGATCTGTGTGTTCACTCCTCTGTTTTTAGTTTCTTTCATTTCAACAGTAAAGTGATGATCTTTGGGTTCTGTTTCCTGGACAGAACCAGGATCTTTAGGTTCAGATGGTGAGCAGACGGCTCATATGACCTCTCACCTTTAGGGATCTTGAACTTGTTGTCCTTCTTGTACCACAGGGTCCCTCGTTCTTCATCCAGGACTCTGAGGGGAACCTCAGAGTCCGGAAAGTCCGACATCTTCAGGGTGAAATCTGTGGCTGCAGAACCAGAGGGAATGTGTGGGACTGGTTCTGTGTGTAGTACAGGTGTGTAACTTCCTGTGTGTGTGTGTAGTACAGGTGTGTAACTTCCTACTTGTGTGTGTGTGTGTGGAACTGGTTCTGGAGGTAAACTCAGACTGGTTCTGGTTCACCTCTGGTGGTCTGAGTCTGTCTGACATAGTCACAGAACTTCCGGGTCAAAGATTCTGAGTCCAAACTAACCGATGAACCTGTTTTCAGCAGGAAGGTGCAGGTCCGGGTTCAGCTCAAAGTCACCGGTCCAGTACTGGGCCCACTCCTCACAGATGTCTGAAGACACAAAACAAATGCACCTTAAACAAGCTGTTCAGCTGTTGAGGTTCATTCTGGACTGGGTCAGAACCAGTACCCTGGCAGCTGTAGCTGGTACCAAACCATTTGTCCCTGAGGGGACAGAGGCCTTGGTTCTCAGGAGACAGCAGCAGCAGGTTGGCTCTATGGGGCGTRAACTGGGTCAGAGCGGCGCTGATCACCTGAAACACCAGTGGGTCAGAACAGGGTCAAGGAGCTCAAARTGGCTGAACCAGAACCTGGATCAGAAGCCTTCTGCTCACCTGTGGGTCATAATGGAACATGAGCTGGTCTCCAGTCAGGAAGTCCGGTTTGGGAAACAGCTGCATGTTCTCACAGATGTTCTGCACAAACTGGACAGGATCCGTCTGTGGAACAGAAACAATCAGAACCATAGTTACAGGTTCCACCAAGTTCTGTTTGATGTTTGATCACAGTATCTTTGTATCTGGTTCTGGATGTCTTGTTCTGGTACCTGCTCTTGGTAGTGGAACTCATTTGCTTCAATCTTCTGAATTTCCTCGTAGATCCTAAAAAGACAGGTTTATTAAGGTTCTGGAGATTTGTGTGCTGAGACCAAACAGAACCACATCCAAACACTCCTCATGAACTGCTCGGTTTAGGTGATCTTCGGTAGAACCGGGCCTGGTAATATGTGCTGTAGAACATGTGTGTGTTTGAGTGGAATCGGACCTCTGCTGGGGGCCCAGAGTCCGCAGCATCTTCAGGTACTGGAACACCAAGTGGACCACCTGCACCCACAAACAACAACATCAAACGTGTTCAGAGACCCGGCAGCTGTTTCCATGTCTGGACCTGGTAGAAGTTCTGGAAGCCCTGCTCAGTCAGGGTGATGGAGATGGAAAAGATGGAGTAGGTGGAGTTCTGGTCGAAGCCCGTCTCACTGTTTCCCCCGTACAGAGCCAGAGCCCAGCACCTGAAAACAAGCAKTGAGTTACTGCCAAGATGGGCTGCCTGGTCCGGGTTCTGGTTCAGGTGGGTCTGGACTCACTTCTTTCTTAGCAGAGACAAGATGCTGCCGGTTCCCTCATGTCCAACCAGCCAGGAGATGTAGTGTAGAGGCTTCACTCTGACACACAAACATGATTCAGGAGACCTCACACACTGCTTTGAAGACACACTTTAAAACTTTACAGAAGAAAATAGTCCCAGGTTTAAAATGTGGAGTGTTTGGTGATCAGAGTGTTTGGGATCAGAGTTTTTGGGATCAGAGTGTTTGGGATCAGTGTTTGGGATCAGAGTGTTTGGGATCAGAGTGTTTTGGATCAGAGTGTTTTGGATCAGATTGTTTGGTGATCAGAGTGTTTGGGATCAGAGTCGTTGGGATCAGAGTGTTTGGGATCAGTGTTTGGGATCAGATTGTTTGGGATCAGAGTGTTTGGGATCAGAGTGTTTGGGATCAAAGTCGTTGGGATCAGAGTGTTTGGGATCAGAGTGTTTGTGATCAGAGTGTTTGGGAAGAGTGTTTGGGATCAGAGTGTTTTGGATCAGATTGTTTGGTGATCAGAGTGTTTGGGATCAAAGTCGTTGGGATCAGAGTGTTTGGGATCAGAGTGTTTGTGATCAGAGTGTTTGGGAAGAGTGTTTGGGATCAGAGTGTTTTGGATCAGATTGTTTGGTGATCAGATTGTTTGGTGATCAGAGTGTTTGGG